TGCAATGCAACTCCCAGCAGCCCAGCTCCCTCCACCAGGGAACACTCGCTCGCGTTGCTGCGCCTGCCACAGACTGAGGAGAGCATGGAGGCCTCCCGAGGCCCAGAAACGCGTCACCTCAGCTGGCTCTGCCCCGAGGAACGTTTGCATTCATAAATATAAATCTGCTTTCAAAGCTCTGGCACCCGAAAGTCATTGATGCTTTAGCTCTCAGCAGTGCTGTCAGCCACGTGCCGGGCGTTCCAGCTCACTGCATGCCGAGAGCTCAGCTTAGCTGAGCCTTTCCCATCTCGGGCCTGCTGACCACAAGCCACGGCCTAGGCCTGGGCTGTCCTGAGCATGGCCCACTAAGGGAGGAAGCAAGCAGCTACTCAGCCGAGGGGATTCAAACACAGATTCTTACCTTCTTCTTGGAAGAATGAGGGCCTTTTAAAGGGAATTTATAATGCAGCTCATGCTTCTAAAGAAAGCTTTAAAAACGTGAACCTCCAGTGAGTCAAAAGCCTTGAAAAGCAAACCAATGTCACATGCACGTGAATTTTTTCTAGACCACATGAGCTCCTGGATTCATATATATGGCATTAATGACAGTAATAAGTGCCAGGATGACAATAACATGATGTGCCAGAGCATGCTGAAACTGATTCAGTCTGGAGAAGAAAAAGGCAAAGTAGTTGGCTGGTCTGTATGAACTGCACATAAACACCGTTTCTGAGTCAAGCTGGGCGCAAAAGCCAGACAGACATGGTCTGGCTGCTAATGCTGCAACATTACTGCTTCCCTGTCCAGAAGGCAGTTGTGAGTTCAAACAAGTAGTCATAATAGGTAGCATCACCTCTTTGATTTCTTCAAATCAAAGCTTTTCATCAGCATTAGAACCTCTTCTTTCTTCAGAATGAGCTTCAAGCTGCGGATAAGTTGCAAATGTCAAATGTAGAACTGAAGATGACTTACATCAAAACTCAATAGCTATAACCAAAGTAGCACTGCAAATGCTTCAGCTACCACACAGTACCAGCGTATGGCCCAGATGTGAACAGCTAGAGCCAAATCCAACACTTTTGTATTTTCAGTGTTGTTGTCTAGGTTAGCTAGATCTATATGTGAGCATTACAATCCCACCTGTAACTGAAATGTAGTAAGAGGGAGTTATCATTAGCAATTTGACTTCAAAACTACTTGAGACACTAGATTTTTCTTAGTAGGCTAGGTTTTATTATAAGCTACGGATCACAACTGGAAGGACATTGCAATGCAGCAAGGTGCCATGAAAAAGCTGAGAAGCATCCAAGGAATTACGCCTATCTCAGTGCAAACTGTGCCAAACTTCCAAAACATCCTGTAGTCTTCTATTTCAAAATGAAGCTGGATATTCACTATTCTACATTTTGATTGCCTAACTTAATGCTCTTATAAACTCAGACTATACTAAAATTTAAGGGGAGGAAGTTAAGCTGTGAGAAACTCCTAATAGTCTGCCAAGACGAAGAATTTTCCCTTTATATTTTTTTCAAAAGCAATATAGTACAATACAGCAACATGAAACTCTACTTTGCAGTACAGGTATATATTAAAGGTCAACTATATTTCATAGGCTTGCAGTCCCACTGAGAAACTGTTTTGAAAAAAACACTGGTGATACAAGCATCCAGGAAAGAATCACAGATTAACAAAATGCTAAAATTTAAAAATGTCTCAGAATTTCTGGGATTTTTCAGCCTCTACTCAGTTTCAGCTCTAATGTTTTTATAAGCAATAATCAAGAGGCCTGTTGCAGACAGAGAGGGATGAAGCTATGAAATAGCACAGCCACCTGCCTATCAATTAACCCTGAGCACCATTGGAAATGTTACTGCCACCATATCACCTGTCATATGTTCACATCTGGTATAATATGAATTTGTTTCAAATATATTCAGATTCTTCTTGAGGGCTTTGGTTTTTGTCTGCCAGTAAGTAAATTCTATCTTCAGTTTCCAGCTCAGGATTGAATGCTGGGAGCTTCTGCTACAACTTCCATCTGCAGAACTTCTTGTGTGGGCAGCTGCACAAGAAACTCTTCAAACTCTTCTGCAGCTCAGAAGACATTGATGCCTGTGTTTGCATAATGTAGTGACAGTAGATATAAACACTGAGCATGTTTTACATTTCATTTCAGAGGATATGAACTATAGGCATCCAGAAGACAGGACAGAAATTCCACAGAGGAAAATCCAGAGTCACTGCTGTTACCTCACCTTTACAGCAATAGTAACTATAAAATATGCCATCACACAAATTCTGGATTTAAAAGCTTTTTTTTAATAGAGGGGGGCATTTAGATTTAATTGCACACAAACATAGAATAAACCAAGAAACAAGCAGCTTTCTAAAATACAATTGCAAAATGCATGATGCTGTTTGCAGAAAGGACTATCTTAAGTTAAAAAGTGAGAAACAATATGTATCGTGCACTAACACATCTGTGGCTGATACAGAATTAAATAAAAAAAAAAGATGACACACAGAAACTAAGGAGTCTTTGCTGTGGGTTACTGTCAATGGAAAGCTCAACTTGACTGTCACAAAGAAGAAGCTGTCAGCAAACCCATCGCTGCTCATGGCCAGAGGGCTGACTAGCACTGTTCAAACAATGGGTGGGACCAACATGAGAAAGGAAATGGAACCCAAAACGTGCTGTTTGATTCCATCCCAGCCATGGTTCCTCCCAGTAACATTGTTCTGCAGCCTAGCCAGAAGCCATATCCACATAAGCTGTGCCTTTAATCACCCAATTCCTATTGATTTCAATGGGAATCAGGCTCCTAAATGCCTTTGTCAGTTTTAGCTTTACTGATGTTGCCTTCAAACAGCAGTGAGAAGCTTTTGTACCACCCTGTTGCTGCTTCAACACCTTTCCAGGACAAAGGAGGAAAACTACATGCATGTCTTAGGTGTGATTCTTTCCATTTTGCAAGGAGATAACTACAAAGCCAGCACAAAAGGAGACATCAGAAAGCATACAATTATGTATGGCTTTTAACAGAAAAGTGACAGCAGTAGCTGGCTATGTCAGCATACCTTTTCCAGAAACTCTGACAGCATATTCAAATATTAAGGAAATTCCTAATCACCTCTTACTTTCACACATTTTTGATAATTAGATTTAAGACTATGCAATTGTGTTATATTTCACAGCTATTTTACATGTAAAATGTTGGGCACAGTTATCCTGGCTGTCAAGCAGTTTCATTGCAGCAGTTTATAACACCACAAGGAAATGTGTATTTAAGGGGTGACTCTTTTTAGAGTTATGTTCTGTTAGTGTTCTATCCCCCTTATGAGAGATGATTGAAGAAAAAAAGAAAAATAACATATGGCAGCTATTGCCAAAGTAAACACATCTTGTTCTGAAAACCTGCATGCTCCTCAGTTACTTTAAGAGTAAAAAGAGCTTTTAAAAAATCAATTCCATTTGCTGCCTCCTGGGTTTTGATTTTTTGGTTTTGGGTTTTTATTTTTTCTGGCAATTAACCATTGTTGTTGGCATTACAAAGATCTGACATTCATTAAAAAAAAAAAAAAGGCAGCTGCGCTGGAAATCATGAATGTCAAAGAAAATTGAGAATGCTAGCACATGCTGAGTCGTTCTCCAGCATATTAACAGAAATGCATTCCAAAAGCAGGTTTTATCCTAAGAAACCCTGATCAGGGGTAGAAATTCTTATTGCTATGGAAAAAGAGATAAATATACAAAATGAGAGTCATTATTTATATTACTTTCAATGCTTAAAGTCTTAAATGGTTCATGGACACACGACCACAGACATCACTTATTTTTGCATGCCACGTGTCATCACAGGCTGTCAGCAGTGACAGCTGACTGACAGTTTATCTCCTTTTGCATAAATGAGACATTGCTACTGGTCAGACTATCCTGCTTCCAATGGAAAAAAAAAATGTTTCTTTCTAGAACAAGGACTTTAAAATTAGGACTTAAAATGTCATCTGGTCCACTGCTCTACTCCAAGGCAGGACTGCTAGGGTTTAAATGGTATTCTGACATTTTTTAACTCTATATTTGATTATGAGAACATATAAGTGAAATCAAATCTCCCCATCCCAGAAGAGGCTTCTACAAACAAGTTATGAAAAAAAATATGAAGAACTGATAGTCTAGGAGTTGCACTTTAATTACATGTTCTGATCTCTGGCAGGCTGTTGTAAGCTGACTGTTGTGTCTTGAAAGTGATGTTTTAAGTTTGAAAATTCCTGAACACAGGAATGCTTAGGTCTGTAGTCCTTGCCATTGGCTTACAACACTGGTGCACTAATCTGGTACACTGTTAGCACATCAGAACAGTGACCAAAAATTGTCTAAAAAAACAATACAGAGAAATACCACACTCATTTTCTTCATCTGTAAGAAATTTTGTACTAACACACTGATACCATTAGACTGCTATGACCAGCTTGCAGGTGAGCAAGTAGTCCTTTCTAACCAGTGAATAATAAGAATTAATGTTTAATCAATCAGGTGATAGAAGTGTCATCTAAGTAACTGAAAGTTTTGTGTTCCTCCTGAAGACAATGTGATTTTAAGCCTGTTTTCGTAAGATGCCTTGAATAAACTTATTTCCCTTCTGGAGATATTTTTATTTCCTAACTGCAATCTTACCAATTACTTCTATGCAATAAAAGTCTCAAACTGTAAAAAACAAAGCTAAGCACATTTTCAGAGTTTTTCTCCTGTTTAGTCATCACATTTTGGGAACAAAATGTTGGCTCTTGGTTAAAGAGGAAGTATCAGAAATACCATATGCAATGAGGTTCCCAAAATGGTAGCTGGTAGCTGCAGCAAAGTGCTTTTACTGATGCAAAAACAAAAATCTTAATCCACGTGGGCAAATTAAGTACTATTCTTAGTAACTGCAGGTAGTATAAATGTATGCATCATAAAATCATATTTGTTTGTTTTTTTTATTTTTGCCATTCATATCTGCCTTACCCTTTTTTCATACCTGCCTTTCCCTTTCAGTTCCATTCTTTTTCTCAATGCTCATTCTTGTTGTTTAAGTTTTCAGAAATTCTTTCTATTGTTCCACTTCACTTGCAGTTCTGTCCAGAACTCACTGCTTACATGTTCTCAAACAACAATTTTATTCTTGAAAAGAGCTGAGGAGAAAAAGCAAGAAAACAAAACAAGCTAATTTGCAACTATTTCAGTTTCCCAAAGAGGGCAATTTGAGAAGTTTACACTGCTGGAAGAGGGAGACTTTTTAAAGGAAAGTTCAAAATTTTTGTATACTATTTCAAAACAAAACAAGAATTACTAGATTTACCTTATCCTTGCAAAATAATTCTCTGGTATTTACAGAGCCCAGTCTGGCCTGGATTACTGTTTGAAAATATTCCTTCAGTATCGCAGCTAGTCTGAGTCTACTTAAGTGACTCGTGATGAGTCATTGAAGTTACTACTTAAATTATCTACTTATGTCATTTTGATGTTCATTTCTGCACAAGATTACCATTAAAGTCATAGAAATAATGCTGCTAGATAAGCCAGTGATCCTGTTGTTTCCAGAAGCACTTATAAAAAAGAAAATCCTTCAAAGGATGTTATAAGAAACCCTAATGTGACAAGTTCTAGAACTGTCTGCCCACGTGGGAATTTTTTTTTAATTACAGGAAATTCATTATTTTTACATCAAATGCTCAGACTTGATTTCAGTTGTCCCAAGTTTCTACTTCTGTATCCATATTGCAAAACATAGTATCAGAGACAGATGTGAGAATGTTGAGAATGTAAAATTTAATTTTGCTTGAACTTTTATAAGACATCCACATTTACCTTACTAAGAAAAATGTTTCAGAAATACAGATATAGAGATAATTTGAGTAGTATAAAACAGCGCACCATGTGGGAAAACCGCCATGGGCCAAATCCTGCAGGTATTCAATTCTGACAATGAAAAATACAGAAAAATACAGGACTGATTTATTTTTTAGCAGGAGGTGAGAAGGGGAAAAGAATTACCAAATATTGAAGGTTTTAATGTGTGACAAAAATCCACAGTATTACTACCTATATCCATTGAATCTCTCTTAGGAGTCTTCTGCTCCCTTAAAAATGCATACTGAAAATACTACTCTACATATCAGCACAAATATAATTAGCACATACTGTCAAATAAATATTTTATCCAGCACCAGTAAAGAGTAAGTACAGCATTGTCACCAAATTATAGAAAGTCACCAAGATATACAATAGGAGATGAGGGCAGAGAGTAGATCCTACTTCCCATCTCTGGACTGACACACAATCAATAATCAGCTTGGCTAAAATTCTGAGTGGGAAGAATTAACACACCAGACTTATACTAAGGAATACAGCTCATTAAAATGAGGCACAGGAGAAAGAAAATAGCCATTTGATCACTTCTGCCTTTTTCTCTCCAGAATTCAGCCTGCCATGCTCTGCAACATCTTTACAGCATCCACTAAACGTCCTGGAAGATCTCCTAAAGGGAATGGAGACCATTAACTCTGATCATCCATCCCAGGAAAGGCATTTTCATAGGTAATCCTATATCATCCTGTATGTTTTTCTACAGTGGAATAACTCAGATATAATATTATAGTTCAAGAGAGTCGCTGAATATGTTTCAAGACTTAGAACCTGTGTGAAGGAGAAACATTTATACATCTTTTACAAGCTCATTCAGGCTATTCAGTGAGGCTGTTTGAAACTGAAGAGCAATGGAAGCATCAAAATAGGTGAAATGTAAACAAAATGCAAATTAAATACTAGAAATATAAATCAATTAGCAGCTTCCTGGCTTTTGGTTTGGGTTTTTTGTTTTTGTGGTTTTGTTGTTGTTGTCATTACTGCTGTCTGTTGGATTACAGTCAACTACAATAAAGGGTGAAGCAATCTTTGAGCAGACCAGCCCTTCCACATAGCAGAACAGCCATAACTGCCCTTCTATTAGCAATGCTTATGGCTCACACAACTTCCTTGCTATCAAGATAAGCTTATCACTGTAGAAATAGGCAGGCATAAAGGGAAGAAAGGAAGAGCAGGAAGGGAACTGGGAAACACAGAATTCTTTAAAAGCAAGCATTCAGCTGTGTCTCTCTTTTCCCTTAATAAAAATTCATTGCCCCTTCAGCATACCCCAGGAGATTCATCCATTCCCTGGCACAACCCTCTATACCTACTCTGAGGTTGGCTGCACATATTGCCTTACGTGTTTCTGAGCACATTCTTTTCCCCACACTCACTCAATCACACCCTCTTCTTCCTCTAGTACTCTTCAACTTTTACAGCACAAATATATTACTCACAGAGCTGAAGTTTCAAGTTATGTTAGATTTGGATATCATCAAGTACAAATGATGAAGGTCAGTGTGTTAAGAAGCTTTTTCTTGTGGCTGCAGAAAGAAAATGTGGAGTATACATTGTTAGCAGCCGATGAAGTAGAGCCATCCAATGGTTCACATGAAAAGTCAAACATGAAAGAACATCCTCTTTGAGTTTATATTGTATCACATTGAACAGGTGCTCCAGAGTTCTTATGATTGAAATAACATTATTTAAGTAGCTGGATTCATAAATTATTACTCAAAAAGAAAATATATCAAAGTATATTTTCTTTATATCATTTTACATTTAAAGTCTATTCACTAAGAAAGGCAATGAGGTAACGAACTGTACATCAAGTTGAAGCTCATAAGGTGGAAAATGCTTGATAGCTATAGACATGAAAGATGTCTTCAAATACCTGCCAAGGCAGAAAAGTTATGGTTGCATCTCTAGAATTTTACAATCCTTAACATAAGAATGAATTTTACAGTACCTTTAGAAATTAATCTACTGAAGCAATTTCTCTGAATGAATCAAAATCATTGTAACAAGAAAAACACTGAAAGAACCAATCTTACCTTAAAATAAACTACCATTTCTATATAATGTGCACACACAGTATTTAAAAACTGTTGAGAATGGGTAGTGTCAGCATCAATTTTAAATTTGTATAGTAAAGTACTTGTACTACGTGTTCATTCTTTCTTATTTAGACTTTATTATAGAAGAGGCCTGTACATTGAGTTCAAATGGGGACAAATTGAGCAGCAGACATTACTTCATAGTTAAAAGGGACTGCTCCAGTGCCATTAAATGAGGAAAGCATGCCACTGGAGTCAACACAAAACAATTCATATGTAATTATTACTAATTTTCTGAGATCTAGAATGAAATGGTTTTATGATCTCTAATACTAGGGCAACACTACACATCAAACTCACAACACTCTTACCCAGCATAATACCAATTCCACAACTATACCTATTCAGGTCCCTTTCACATACATGAAAGGTCCAAAAAGACTTCACAGACCTTTGATAAAGTCCATCTGGCAGCAGTCTAGATATAAATACTACATAAAACTTATACAAAGACGATAACACTTCCCAAGGTAAATGAAAAGATAAAAGAAAAAATCTTTGAGGTAATCAGAGAAAATCAGAAAAGGAAAGAGAGATAAAAGCAAAAAAAAAAGCAAATGTTCACCATTTATATTGCAGAATTTTAATTCATGTGTTCAGTTTTTATTTATTTCAGTGTACTTTGTTTGGTGCCCTTACAATGCATCTGTAGAAATTATCGGCACTTCTGGTCCTACTATCAGGGGAAAAACAGCACCCATTTGCAAAAAGTCCAAGTATTCAATGGCAAAATCTGGTTTCAGCCACAATTCAAGGCAAGTATCTTGAGTCTAATATATGATTTCAAAAGACATGTCACTACTTTAAATATCAACAAATTTGCAGTTGCAAATACAACTGATCTTTTAGCATTTCCATAATCAGGATATGACTTGTGAAGCCTATGCCTTCTAACCAACCTAAACTAGATTTGTCCTCAGTCAAATTCTAAATCCTATTTCAAACTTCATTTAAACCACTACATCTTCATTTCCTTTAGAACTCAAACTGACAACATCTGTAGTAAAGCACTGTCCTTGCTGAATCACTCTTACAAGCTTCCTGCTAATACTAACAATCCATGGGATTTTTGGTCTTTCCTTAGGATTAGTGTTCATTATTCTGGCAGAAGAAAAGAGTGACAAATGCTGAACTTCATTGTCACTAGGGAAAAAAAGAAAAGGTTGTTTGTGACATCTTTTATGCTTCAAGTAATGCATTGCTATTGCCAGAATTTTCTTTCCTATATAAAGATGCCTTATCTAAACTCTTAAAAATAGTAACAGTAAGGTTCAGGAAATAATATAAAAATCATAAGAAAGTTCACCCTTTTCCATCCTGTGAGAAATGTTAAAACTGGCTACTAAAATTAGAATTAAGGTGTACCCTAAATTCATATCCCAGAGTTTTAATTTATATATGTGTAACTTACGGAGATAATCCGTCTTTTAAGAAATTATTTTTTTTCACCTACCCTCTGTCCGCAGTACAATATTAAGTACTCATTCCGAAGAATAATTTTTAATTTAATCAGAAATTTTACTAATTTATTACTACTTTATCCAAGAAAAAGTAATATTAAAATTTATGTTAAATGGAAAATAAAGCTTTATAAAGTCAAATTTTAATTTAAATATGCATAACACTGTTAAAATGTTGTAAGCCCTCTACATTACACTCGACCTGTTGAGAATGAGAGGAACTCAGCAGCATCCCTGAAAATTCACATGCACGGTCACATAAGTAAGGGAGCACTGAGATAAAGCTGAAAATAATATTTTTGGAAATCTTACTATAAAGATAGAGCTCCAATGTCATAACGTAAATCAACTAAGATTACATGAACAGTTCTATATAATATAGTCAGTGAAGTAAACTTACAAAGCTTGCACAAGCATGGTGGAAGGATGGAATTTGTTGCATCAGTTATTTAATTTAATAGGACAACAAATGAAGTAATACAGCCAAGGTAGAATATTTTTTAAAACGTCAACTTCAGACAAGGGTATAACCTGAAGAGGCATTGTCTATCAATATGAGCAACAGGCAGATCAGATAAATCCTAAAACAATAACAAAACTTTTCCTTCTTCCTGAGAAGCACTTATTAGCAGAATAGAAAACAATTTTATTCTATGGAGGAATCCAAAGCAGCTGGATTTCATCCCAAA